TTATGATACAGTTGAAATATTCCCTGACGACCAGCTGTTGTGTGGTATCGTGGTGAAGTCAGGTGATAATATAGTTGAAATTGTTGTAAAATCAGGTGATAATACAGTTGAATTTGTGGTAAAATCAGGTGATAATGCAGTTGAAATGGTTGTAAAATCAAGTGGTAATAAAGTCGAAATCATGGTGAAATCAGGTGATATTACAGTTGAAATCATGGTAAAATCAGGTGATAATACAGTTGAAATGGTGGTAAAGTCAGATGATGATACTGGTGAAATTGTGTTAAAATCAGATAATGATACATTTGAAATTGTTGTAAAATCAGGTGATAATGCGTCGTAGTAATACTGTTGAAATGGTGGTAAAATGAGGTGAAAAGACAGTGGAAATGGTGGTAAAATCAGGTGATCATACAGCTGAAATGGTGGGAAAGTCCAGTGATGATACAGTTGAAATCATGATAATATCGTTGAAATCGTGGTGATGCAGTAAAATCAGGTGATAAAAATACAGTTGAAATTTTCCCAGACGACCAACCGTTTTTGAGGAGAAAAGTGGAAGTCTTAGACTTGTAGACATCTTGGGCAGTTTCGTTATAATATGTATTATTATGAACAAAATGCATGATGGGTAAGTGGAAAGTGGTCGTTTATACTCGTGGCTGTCTAAGACAAGTGGTTGTAAGAACAGGTTCACCTTTAGTTTTAGTTTTATGCCTTTTAATTTTTTACAGATTGTTAGAGATTTTGTATTTTGTTTTTGTGGCTTTTTAACTTTGACTCGTATAAGAGGTTTAACAGGGAGACGCACATTTCTGTACATTTCCCGAGTCAACAGAAAAGTCTCTAAGAAATAGTTTTGTTGTTTTTTTTCTGTTCCATCCGACTGAGACTCAGTTCATTATCTCTAGCTTCATTTTGTTATGGCAAGTTTCATTGAAAATAAAAGCATACAGTAACTTTTTTTTAAACCAAATTTAAGATGGTTTTTCAAGGTAAAAGGACATGGTCGCTTTTAAGGACAAGCAGCGGGCTAACCCAGATTCCGGGGATTTCCAGAAATCTTGACCTACACCAAAAGTGGGCATTGCCCTACCTATAGGAGAAGTTTAGTTTCATTGGTGTGTATATTTGTTTGGTTATAGAGAAAACTTTGCTTGTCTTTTAAAGAAACTGAACAAGGGGCAAAAATTGTGCTGTCGATTTTCTCAAAACAGCATTTTTCGGGATAGCCCCCTTGTGCTTAAAAACGACCACATTACGCTCCAAAATGTTATGAGAAGAATGAAGATTTGTTTTTCAAGGACTCACTAGTTGTACAGACACATGCTGACTTCTGTTGGTTAAGCTGTCTTTATTATCATTTTGTTTTTTGTTTTTATTATCCAGCCTATAGTTCATAGGAGACGCTTGTCGTCTGATATTAGTTGATGAATATGGAGAGCAAGAGTGTCTGTACAGCCACTCAGAAGTTGTAATGGTGGATGATTTACAGCCACCAAGATACTGATCATGTGATATATATATATATTTGATAAATGATATGCTTATATATGGCAAGACGTTAGTCAGACTCGGTGAGTCGTAACTAGGTCAAATTTAATGAAGTTATTAGCATTGCAAAATATGGTTGTTTAACTATTTGAGCCCCATCGGACACTGGGAGTGTCCAGTACTAGTGACAACTGTTTTGTTTTATTTACTGCTAGTTTTTGCTTGTTTTTCGGAACTATTCCCGAACCTAGGTTTTTAGTAATGACTGTGGGTGGTTGGCGGGTGCTCTGGTGTGGTTTGCTTCTTCTTTCCTTTCAAACATCTGCCGTCCTTATCTCCCCTCCTTCTTTTTTGTGTTTGTTACTCTCTTGTAACACCTCTAATCTTCGGCACTTATATGACCTTACTGTGTTGCAAGTGCCGTAAAACACTTACTAATACAATTAGTAATGACTAAGCCTTTGTTTCCGCTATTTAGAAGTTGGAGTCAAGCTTTTGGGGTTATAATGAGTCATAGTGCACTAGGTTTAGGGGACTGTCGAAAAAAACTCCAGAAAACGGTAGAAAAAACTCAGGGCTTACTTAAAGAGTTAAGTTAGTTTAACATTGCAATCTGAACTCCAACTGTTTTTTTCTGTTGTTGTAGCTGTTGGTTTTGGGGGTTTTTTTGGTAAGTGTTTTACGGCACTCGCAACTGCATAAGGTCACATGAGCGTGCACACCAACTGTGATGTGTTAGTAGTGTAGCGTAAGCAGAAATTCCATACTGTTTTGATTTAGACGCGTGGGTAGTTGGCGTATGCTCTGGTGTGGTTTGCTCCTTCTTTCCTATCAAACAACTATCGTCTTTATCTCTCCTCCTTCTTTTTTGTGTACTCCCTTGACATTATTGTGTTGCAAGTGCCGTAAAACTCTTACTAAATCTAAAGCTAATTTAGATGCAATTAAATACTACTTGGTCATAGATCTCTAGTTTGGAACATATTGATTATTTTGAGTTTTAAAAATTTTTTTGGTTTTTTTTTTTTTTTTCAGGTGGGAGTTCTTGAGGATGACTACACGTGTTGTGGGGTATTGTGCGCCATTCTGTTTTTCCCTCTGGGGATTTTGTGTTGTTTGGCCATGAGGCAGAGAAGATGTACGCACTGTGGGGCTGTCTTTGGTTAGAAAAAATAATAGCGGTACGGAGAGCATACAGTATACAGGCAGGTATTTGTACATACAGTGGAGTCTGCTTATTGAGCTGAACATAGTGAGTCCATGATTCTGTATACAGTGGTAAAGCGAAAGCAAATAGAGTTCCCTGGGGGATGGGGAGAGAGAGGGGGGGGGGGGGTTGTGAGACCGTAGAAAACCCCTTTGGTCCCACAGATTAGTGTTTAAGTTGACTTCATTGAATTTGCATATATATATATATTTATATATACATGTACATCGATGGCCTCTTTTACAAACATTTAAATCCAAGGTTTTGTATTTTTTCAAATGTTGGCCAATGAAAACGATAGAGTAATCATTCTATTCTAAAAACTGCTCTTTTGTTCATCGCTATATCCCTTAAAAGTGGACCATGCACTTTGCTGTTCTCTTGAGCTTATCTAGAGGTTACAATTTTGGGTCTTGTTCATGTAGAAGTAGTCGTAGCATTACTATCATCCTGCTCTTTATCTTCATTTTTGTAGTTCAAGCTGCCTAAACTCATTGAGGATGTGTTGTTATGTTGTGGGGGAAATTTTTTTTTTGGTGATAATACTATAGAATTTCTTTGTTATTCTTAAACTTTTGTTTTCTTTATTGGAAACCTTTAAAGGCAGGCAACAGCATACGCACTTTTCGAAAAGTGCACAATAGTTGTTTTTTTAACTGATTTGTGTTTGATGGTTCGAAATGTTGTCTTTGGTGGTTCGAAATGTTGTCTTTGGTGGTTCGAAATGTTGTCTTTGGTGGTTCGAAATGTTGTCTTTGGTGGTTCGTGGTTCGAAATGTTGTCTTTGGTGGTTCGTGGTTCGAAATGTGACGCAACATTGCTTTTGTTCTGCTGCTGATTGGACATACTATGTGTCCATGTGGGAATGGGTAGCCGGCCACAGACAGCAAAAGATGTTGTCGGTATGTTAGTGTTTTAGCGCCTATAAATGGCCGCTTGTACTGACTGTATGCTTCCCGGGAAGTTGAGGTTGTTTCAGAATGCTCTCGGGTCTGCTGGGGTAATAGTATAGATTGTATAGCACATACAGCTTGCTGTTGAGCAGGGATTTGCGCTATACAGATGCTATCTATTATTATAAAAGAGTTAAAACATTGTAGCTTGTTATAATTGACCCTATCATAGGGTTCTTGAGGCCTCTTTGAATTCAAGGAGTCCTTGAAAGCTCCTTGAATTCGCATTCAAGGGAAAATCTCCTTGAAAACTCCTTGAATTTAAAGAACCTACTTGAAAACTCCTTGAATTTCGCAGGATCGGACATGAACAAAATTTTTGGTTAAAAAATCGAAACTACAATTCCTTTCGGACAAGTGTAAGCCTGTCGGAAATTGGCTTTCGGCATGAATTTCTTGACCAAATCTCCTTGAATTTTTTTTTATTTCTCTGTGAAACCTCCTTGAACTTGAAATCTTGGGTGGGGAGTTCATGGCAGGAACCCTGCTATCAGAGTTGCCTGGTATGTCTCAGCAGTCATTGACATTGTGCTTCCGGCCTGGATTCCTGAGGCCCCACTTGTAAAGTGGGTTGTCCAGCCTGGACAGCATTTGTTGTTGAGATAGATTTTGACACGAAATCTGATGATTTTGACACGTAATTGTGTCTCTGATGACTTTTGTTTTTGCTGGGGGAAAATGGTCGCTTTTAAGCACAAGGGGGCTATCCCGAAAAATGTTGTTTTGAGAAAATCGATTGTAAAGTTTTTGGACCCTTGTTCAGTTTCTTTAAAAGTCAAGGAGAGTTTTCACTATAACCAAACAAATATACACGCCATTGAATCCAAACTTCTCCTATAGGTAGGGCAATGTCCATTTTTGGTGTAGGTCGAGGTTTTTGGAAACCCCCGAAATCTGGGTTAGCCCGCTTGTCCTTAAAAGCGACCAATTAGTCTCTGATGACTTTGTTTGTACTGGAAAAGAAAATATGCAACAAGCTGTTTGGCCTTACTACGTTCCGTTGTCTGTCGGTGTCTCATTATGTTTACAAAGCCAAACCAAAGCTCATGTCGTCGATATTATTTGTAGAAAATTTTGTGTGCCGTACTGTGCTTGAATCATTTATTTTCTCTGTCATATTGTGCTTGTATCACATATTGTCTGTCACATTTTGCTTGTACCATATATTATCTGTCAAACTTAATTTGTTTCACATTTTGTCTAAATTGGGTCGATAGTGCCGTAAAACATCTACTCAATCAATCAACATTTTGTCTGTCATAATGTACCTGTTTCACATTTTGTCTGTCATGCTGTGCTTATAATATAATATCATTTCATCGGTTGTTTTCTCAATTTGTCATCTTGAATGGTAATGTTTACTTCGACTTTGATATGATTATTACTGACTGCCAACTTTTTTTACCTGCATGTACACACATGCTACATGGGCGAAAGCTGTGCAGTATGGGGCATTCTTATCATCATGTGTTACATATCATCGTGACCCCTGTGCATTTGATTATTTTGCTTCTCTTTGTATTAATCCAGCGGTATTTCTGATCTTCTGTTAAGGAGTGTGACAAAATGGTAGCGCTGTGTTTTTCCATTTTCTGGTGTGGATGTGATACAGTTGTGGAAATTGATACGTTTATTTTTCAAGCTGTCATGGTAAGAGAAAATTGTGTCTTGACTGCTCGCTGTAAGAATCTGTTATAATGACACTTTTCGTAATGGCTTATGGTGGGTTTTACCCATAGCAGTTGGTCTGTTCATATGTTGTGCATCAGGTCTGTCCATTTATGTAAATGAGCGTATGTGGAGTTCGTTACGCGTATAGTATTATTATACAATCTATATCCATTTCAGCGTATTTTCAGCAAATGATTTCTAAGGTCCAATCACAGTGCCAACAAATCCAATAATTCTTGTATGATTCTGTGGGTTTCAGTTGAGTCTGCTTAAAACGAACGTGGTTCATCTGAAAACGGCGGTAAACCTAAAGAAAAGAAAATCCCTGATGTTTCTTTCTTGTTTGTCTTCTTCTATTTGAACAACTTTTCAAAACCAAAATCTCTGATAACCTGGAGCAAATCCAGCGGTCTCGCAGATTTCGGTGTAAGCATAATTCACTGTACTTGCATGATGATAGAGAATCAGTCACATTGTTCAGCTTGAGTAAAAGGGAGCGGGTGGTAAATATGGTTCAGATATGTGTGTGTGTGAGTATGTGAGAGAGTGTGTGTGTATGTGAGTATGTGAGAGAGAGTGTGTGTGTGTGAGTATGTGAGAGAGAGTGTGTGTGTGTGTGAGAGAAAAAGAGAGAGGGTGTGTGTGTGAGAGAGAGAGAGAGAGAGTGTGTCTGAGAGAGAGAGGGTGTGTGTGTATGTGGGA